CCCCCCCCTTCCCCGCTCCACCGGCTTGGCTCAAATCGGAAACAAGCGCTGCGGCGTCACGATTGGTTGTCGCGGGCCCACGAGGCGGGTGCTCGCAAGAAGCAATGGATCTGGATGAATGGCGGGATCCTCTCCAGCGTGGATCGGCTGGTAGGGCCGTAGGGCTCGTAGCTAATCGTCCCTGTCATTGCCCCCTCCCCCCGCGCCATGTGTGTTGGTCGTAGCTAGCAGCCTAGCCAGTCCTGGCTCCTGGCCTTGCCGCGAATGAAAATGCAGCCAGGCGCAACTCCGGGGAAGAATGGGAAGCGGGGGGGGGGGGGGGAGGGGGTGTCATGCCCCTTCCCCCCCCTCCTCACATCCTTCCCATTTTCCTTACCGCTTATGGAATATGAGCACGGGAAACAGTCGTGTGAGATTAACGCGTATCGTTGAGTAACTCGACCCAGCAGATGTTGCGGAGTGACTACTTGTAGCTCGTGGCTCTTTGCTTTTGTTGGTGCTAATCTGTCGTTGTGTTGCTGTGTTGATTGATAATACTTTGTGTGTATGACGCAGTCTCGGGCCTCTTGTCTTAACTTTGTATTTATATGAAAATATAAACACCAAGGCGGGTCGGTTGTAACTATGTTTACGTTTTGTCCTTCAGTGGGATTTGGTGAGCTCGGGGCGCCATCAGATCAGCCCCTTGCCTTTGTCACCTCTCTTTGCGCCCGTGTTTACATTTGGCGCACTTGGGATACATGACCCCCCCCCCCCCCTCTCCCCCACTCCCTCCTCTTCCTCTCCATTTTAGCTCTTGTGTTCGTAGTGCTGCCCTCTGGCGGGGACGGAATGCGAGAGCAGATCATGGCTGTTGCCTTCTGAAGTCCAAGTTTCGGTCAGGCGGGCAGGGCTTTTCTGATTTCCTCTGCTCGCGTCTGGTTGCCGTCGGTCTGTCTACTAGGAACGACTCCTTTGTACCCTCCCCCCGGACCTGGCGATGTCAACGGGCTGGGCCATCCCCTTGGGTGTCATTCGACGTGAATCTCGTGTCGACTCGAGCGAGGTCGCCTCCCCATCGTCTCCTCTGGCTCCGTGACGCAGTGTTTTCCTAGCAGGTCGCTTGGTACGTGCTTGTGGCTGGCACGGGCAATTTGGGGCTGGGCCGCGGCTTGGTTCAAAATATTGTCGTGTTTCTTGCTGGAGTGCTGTCGGTGACACCGTGCGAGGGGGGGCCAGGGGCTCGAGCACCGCCCTAACCTTATATAACACGCCAGCAGCTACTACAGTGGTCTTTGGAGTGCTGGCCGGTTCGGTCGGGGGCTGGAATGTGCGATCGCGAGTTGTCGTTAGGGAGGTGCCGTATCGCGAACCTGGGCCGGAGGGGCGTAAGGCACTCGAGTCCTGGTTTGTAGGATCGCTGGCTTTGTTCGTCCCACTTTGAAAGGATCCACACCAAACCCCCCTCCATTCTCCCCTGAGGACTAGTCCACCGTTTCGGAATGATGAGCGAAGATTGGCGTTGAATCAGTAAGGTTAGGTGTCGTAGACCCTTGCTTTGTGTCTTTGAAATATGTGTGGTGCAAAAGTAGTCACGGTTTCCTTGTCCCCCTTTATACCTTTGAGGTTATGGGAAGAGAATTCCATCATGTTGCACATTACCTTCAATCACTCCTTTTCTTGGCGTTTCCCTCCCAAGGTTCTTTCTTAAAGATGATAAACACATTATTATATGATATATACTGAAGTTTTTGAGGTAAAGGCTCCAATGAGGCAACCAGAATCTCAGCAATTACCAGGATCTTATTTATTTTGAAGTGATTATAGACTGGCCATGACAAAGCATTTTCCCTTGGTGTAATTTGTAATTAGTTTGTCTCATTCTGTTGTGTGTAGCTGTATCTCGGATTTTAATTTCAGAACTTTGGAAGCTCAGATACAATTAGTCCAATTTTTGCTGGCAATTTTACTGACATGCTCTTTATGTTGTCATATTTTCCACTTACTGTCTGTGTTTCGAGCAATCCATTTGCTTTCCATTCATTTCCCCCATCAATTATTTATGTCTCTTTGACTATTTCTAGAACTTATCTTGTACATGTATATTTATAGCCTTTCTTTACACCTTTATTAACTCTCTGTACTGTCAACTTTCTTTCACTTTGCAATTTTTTGCTTTTAGGCAGAAGACAAGAAAGACTCTGGAGTTTCAAGCTTAGATGATCGTGGGCTCCAAGCTCTTTTAGACGAGGCCATTGCGTACAAGAACCCCAAGGACCGCGAGCAAAGTAGTGATCTTTTCAAGGTATGGATGTGTCCTCTCCCCCTCTCCCCATTTTCAGTAGTGATTATATTTCTGAGAACTCTTTGTTGTGTGCAGGAACTCCTCGCTAAAGTAGAAGCTGATGAAAGAGAACATTCTGGTGGCCAAAGGGGCATATCTGGAATTGGAGGAAGCAGTAGCCGGTACCGCAGAGGATTGTCACGAAAAGGGGATGTGTCTGAGCGAAATTCAAGAGGTGGATCCCTTCAAAATTTGGTCCATGCTCTGAACTCTGATTTAGATCACAGTGGTTCATCTAATAGGAAACGTGGAGGAAGAAGAAATCCTCAAGTATGTATACTTTAGTACTATTTTGTATCCCAGGAATTAGAACTTGTTGTTTCTCAATTGCTAATCTCTCTTGCAGCCTCAAGTCAGTGTCAGTGCCAGACAACGTGAAGGTGGTTCATTGCCCTGTAATGTCAATGCTGACTTCTATGGTGCTGCTGCCCTCCTCCGTAGTCATGATGATGTAGGCACAAGTACCTCTCTGAAGAAACGTCATCATCCCACTCCAATAGACGATGTTGTGACTGGAAATAGTTATTCCTATAAACTTCCCAGCGCCAGCGGTGCAAGAACTGCAGATGACTTGTCAGGCTACCGAGTATCCCATTCGGGTAAACGAGCAACTGACTCATTAGATGATATTGAGACAGCAGCATCCCGCGGGCCGGGTAACAAACGCCGCGAGTTAAAGAAATTAGGTCATTCATCTGATGCTATATTTCCAGAAAGTACCAGTGATGGTATTAGTTCCATGGAAGACTTAAGCAAAGAAGCTGAAAATAATCGATTAGGTGATATTAAGAATGAAAATGAAAACTTGATTGACTTTTGTGCTACTGAACTAGCTTCATATTATCTTAATCGGCACAATAATGTAGACAGAAGTACATCTGATCACTCGGTGGTCGAAATTGATAGCCCATCTCAGCTCAACGGTCCATCTATGTTGGGTGTGAGCATGAATGGCTCTGTCCGGCCCGGGCCGGACCACAGATGGATCAAATCTGAGTCCCGAAAGGATGATAACATGGACGGAACAGAGATGATTCCTATTGAAAGGACCTCTGAGATTCCAAAGTACTCTGCTCTGAGACCAAATGATCATGAGGTGGACCAACCCATCAAATCAGACCTCATGTCAAGAAAGTCTGCACGAAGCAATGGTGAACATATGGTGCCTTTCTCCACCATTTTCCAAGATGCTGACTTTGCTGGTAAGAATGGTTCCTTATTTTCTCAGTCATAATAATTGCAAGCCTGTTTGGTTTTTCATTTAACTTATGGGGTTGTATTGTTGCATCAGTCTCTGCATTTCCTATTTGCATAATTTTCTAGTGGGACATTACTTACCATTTTATCTCCTTGTAAACATAGGATTGTTGCATTTGATTTTTTCATGAACTTCACTGTCAGGATTTTATTACTAATGGAATTCTACTAATCCTGTTCTACTAAATTTTGCATAACACTTTGCATCTCATACCGATCTATATTATTCTCTAACATAGTTCTCCCTACCTGCCTTGTTTCATTTGATGCATTACTTACTGATTTTATTTTTGTTGCGTAATGGACACACTTCACAGGTGGGGACTCAATGCGGCGAATATTGGATGCTGAAGTTGATAAATCTGCTGCCCGTCCCAGAACATTGTTTCAAGTCCAATCTTTGGATAAGAATATGCATTTATTACGAGTGGGTGAGTTTCTTTAGTTTTGTGAAGAAACCTTTGGGCCTCAGTTTAGTATTGTATTATAAGGCTAAAAGGCTGTTAAGCATTCTTTTATACCACTTGTAGAAGTAATCTGGTGTATCCGTCTTTTTAGTCAGAACAATTGATTCTTATAAGACTGACTTTAATATCGGCAGAGTGTTTAACTTTAGCTCTCAAACATGACATTGCTTCCAATGTGTTAATACTTTTGCATGTTGTGCAGAATTTTTTTCATGCATGATTTTAACACTCATATTCTTTCATACACATACCAATCTACATACAGTCATTCATTTCATGTACTCAAGTTATCCCTTTTTTATTTTTTAGATGCACCACGTCTTTCTTCTTTCCTTACTAAAGAGTCTGAAAAGGTAATTATTTATTTAGTTACTTTAAAACTGTTATTTTGTGGAAACTATTAACATGCCTGTTCTTCCTTGCCAGAGAAACCTTGACGAGAATGGGAATGCTTTACAGCAAGGAACAGGTTCAGAACGGAAATCCAGAGCACGCAAAAACAAGGTTACTTATTTTCCTCTTAAATTTGCTGTATTTTGTATTATGTTCAATCTTTGTCTTTAACTGTTTGTTCTGTTTTTCAGACTGACAATAACAATTACGTGTTATCAGAGGCAATTCCTGGGCACAGGGGTGGAACCCAAGATATCAATGAGTTAATACTCTTTATTGAGTCTCCTTCCAACTGTCAAGATGTCAAGTCAACAGTTAGTGGGAAAAACAACCGCAATACTAATGGTCCAGTTAATATTAAAGATAGGTGAGATATTGGTGCACATTTTGGATTTTTCATAATTTGGTATTTGCCATTTGGTATTGATAAATCTGTTTGTTTCAGTAAACAACGTAACAGTAGTAGCAATGGAAAGAGAAGTGAAACAACTGGTGTCAAGGTTAAGGCTGAAAAACGGAAATCAAATGAGAAACAGAAACTCCAAAAGTCCAACAGCCTTGAGGAAATATCCTTCACAAAACTATCCGACCTCACCTCATCAGATGTCCCGTCTGTAGAAAAAGGTTGGGCTGTGAATTATTTTCTTTATTTTGTTTATAGAAGGCCATGTTTTAGTTAAGTGAGTCTATTTCATTCAAATTATATTTATTTCAGATCTTCAAGAGAGGCAATCCAAAAAGCAGTTGACTCTTGATAAGGAGATTCCTGTAAGGGAATCTCGTCAAAAGACAGCTCGAACATCAGGCAACATAGGATCTAATAGAGGCAACAGTGGTGGAAATGGTAGCATCAACAGGAAACAAAGGGAGTCGTCAAGTGTTCACAGAGTAACACCCCAACCATCAGAATCCATCAACTCTTTCATTCAAGGGGGAGATTTAGTCATTGCAGACCCAGCTGAGTTTCATGTTGTGACCAAAAAACAGCGCAAGAAAAAGAGTGGTCGTTCATCTTCTATCGGTAGAAATGAGAGAAGCCATCATGCCGCACAAAGCAATAATTATCATGTATGTTACCTTGCATGTTTCTTTATAGCGTTTTCTCCCATTTTTATGTGAAGTATTGGTTTATTCTGAGTTCCTATGATATTCTGATTTTTATTTCAGAGAGAGGGTCACTCAAGGAGGAGTGCTACAGTAGATGACAGTGATAGTAACATTTTGTATCAATATCGTACTGCACCGTACCGTTCGGAGTCGCCAGACCATAGTGAGCACCAGCACCACCGAAGGAAGTCTACTTCAAGTATGCCCCCGAGTGACAAGAGTGCTGATAGCTCAGACTTGGACAGTGTCCATTCTCTTCCTATATCCCCAACCACTCCAAGACAAGTTTTGGAGAAAACTTCAACTTCCAGGTGTGTTTTTAAATTATTTTATTTCATTGTGATGTTGGTGGCACAATTTTCAACAATTCTCTTTTCTTTTTAGTGGTTCTACTCCCCAGGCATCTTATGCTGACATTGCTCGGATGGCTTCTGCAATGTCACCACCACAAGGATGTCCCCTTACATCAGGATCAGCTTCACAGGCTCTAAATCAATTGGATGCTCAAAGCCAGGGTCTCCCTACAACCAAGTGGCCATCTGTTGGACAGACCAAACCCTCTGCTCCTCTGTGGACTGCAAATGTTACACTCCTTACTGCCACATCTCTTCCAGCTAGTCATGAAGAGGGAGGAGACCAGTGCTTTACAGCACCTGTTCCTGCTGTGTCTTCCTCCATGAACTGTAGCTCAACTAAACGCGATGCAATGACGAATACAATATCCCCTCAAGAGAGTGAATCAGACTGTTCATCAGTTGGAAATTTGCTGTCAGATCTTAGTTATCCACCTTTATGTGAAACTGGCAAATCTCCTCCAACCGTGCCACCGCAGACAGTGACTCAGTGTGTGCAGACTTTCATATCACAAGCTTCCCGAACATCACCAGCCATATCACCTGGTGTGACGATGGCTAATTGTGTGGATGTAGAGGACTCTGCTAAACGGGCAGCATCTCCAGCTGCCTTCGATAGTGTTCGTGATAGCTCGCGGACTAGTGCGCTTGACCGGCCAGCTGTGATTATCCTTGACGAAGCAGAAACTGAAACCACCTTAAATGGTGATCCTGAACTGACTTTTGGTTTTGAGATAAATGAGATGCTTTTATCAGGTACTTGTGCAGCCAGCTCTGATGAAGAAGTGGAGGCCAGACTTGAATCACAAGCCCCAGCCAAAGCCCAACCTATCATTTCTGTTGCCAACATCAATCTTGATAAAATTGTGGCGTTTGTTGGAAGAGGTAAGCATAGTGCACAGTATTCTATGAAACATGTTTTTACACCTTTTCTCAACAGTTGTTTGACATAATATCCTGTTTTTTTCAGCATGGGAGGATGTGATTAAAGAGCTACCTGAAGCTGGTGTTCGTGGCCGAGTGCAGTTCTACAGTGGTCAGTAACTCAAGAGGAGTCATCTCTGTTAACGTTGAGTTTGTTTTGTTTTAAGTATATTGTGTACAAAAGTGAAGGAATTGTGGACATCTTGAGTGGCTGGTGGAGCTCAGCTCTTTGTTTTTGTTGTTCTTTTATAAATATATATTTTAATGGCTGTGCTGCTGCAAGCAGAGGTCAGCAAGCAGCTGTGACTGTGACTGCAACTGCTTGCCCTACCCCAGCCTTGCTGTGCAAGAGTCTCATGTCACCTCAGCAGATCTTACCCAGTGTTTCCTGTGGTGATGTCAACTAGCCTTGTTGATTGTGCATGCCTTCAGTGTACTAACTTCGCTGCATCAAGCTAACACGACACCTACCACTCATCTCTTGTTTTTTAATTAATAGCAATACTATTCACTAATTCTTCTGTGAATGAATTAAGTGCTAGAGTAATGTGGTGTCTAGGTGTGTGCTAATGCTGTTTGCTGTCAACTGCTTAATCTCTTCATATCATGAAGTAATGCTCATGATATGTGAAGAAAATTCTGATATCATGTATGAAATGATAACAAAGAATTTAGGCAGAGTCTTAACTGTTTCAACTAATAGGGAAATGAATTGATGAATCAATTGATGAATTGTGGCCATTGAAATCATTATGGCTCAGCTAATCTCTTGCCTAGCTAAATGTTTCTTCATTCATCAGTTTGTTGAAGCAGTTTTTACAAAGCCAAAGTTCAATGGACTATCTTTTTGCATTAAGTGGGGGCCTTATTGAAAAGGTCCAGTGTTTTCCCTATTGTTTCATTCTTATATTGTTAAGAACAAAACTTGTTCGGTTGTTATTGTACATGTCAACCTGTTTCTGTGATGAAACACCATAGGAAAGTCAGTTTGGAGGCCAATCGTTTTGGTATCCTAGTGATTTCTTTTTTTTGAATGGAAAGTGAGAATGTTTCCTTGGTTACTTTGTTAAAATTGCCCATATTGGTGTCAACTCTTTTTAATTGAAATTTGGTTTTGAGCTGTCAAACTTATTATTTAAATAAATCATCTTGTTGAATGATTTTAAGTTGTGTTAAAGTTACTGTCATTGGAACTGTGAAATTTTTGTCATGTGTGAAGTGAATTTAAAGCTAGGTAATGTAACTTTTATAATTGGCGCTACTTTTGTAAATCTTTGCTAATCTTTGCTGTTGTTTGTTTGGTTAAATTGGCTTATGCAAATCAAATCAGCTTGTATGTTTTCATTTCGGTTACAAACAACCAAAAAATAAAAATTAAAAAACCAATAAACTGAACCAAAGAAATACTTCTTTTTTGTTTTGTTGGTTTACCTAATCGGTTAAATTGCCAAGTTTGTATGTATGTATGTATGAATGTGTGCGTGGAGGTGTGATTGATGATTGTAGTTAGGTTGTACATGCTGTGTGCATAAAATGTTGTTTTTTAAAAGTGAGAAGTCTGTATTATGTATTTTAAAAAATGCATAAAAAATATTGATCAAATGTGAGTAAGATTGAGTACCTAGTCTGAATGCTGTAAGTGATGGCTAACCGATGATGTAAAAGCCATCACACATACTTGCCAGGATCAATAAGAGATCATGGTGCCCTGATGCCCAATGTTAACTGATAAATGAGGGCATTTCTAGCTAGACTTAGATCATTGAAATAAAATGCATTGAAATAAATGCTACATATTTAATTACCAGTCATTGTTCAAGCTTTAAGTTGCTGGTAGTCTTGATTGATCACCTTTCCATCTTGTGATTTGTATGTAACTAATCTAAGACAATCTAATGTTGCAAGAAAATGAATGCTTGTTCATGACTGGCAGGAATTCTTTGCTCAACTCTGTATTCCAAAAGTCATTAACATGTGAACATAGCCTGCAAGTGAATTGTGTAGTAAATACTGTCAAGGCATACTGGCTTGAAACAGTCCGGAAAAAAAGGCAAGAATGCAACATGTACGGAATGTAACAGCACTGTTGTAAATTATTAAAAAAAATATGAAAAAACATTTTTATCTCTTGGCTTTTATTTTACAAATCTGTTCCTTTACTATCCGGTTTGTATCTCTTAATCTTCAATCGCATTTGCAATGAGAAGAGGGACACTTCAGACTTGGATGAGTCAAGAGATTTTTGTACGGATTCGAATTTGAAGCTCGGCGTTGAGTAGAAACTATCCATGTCACGCCAACCCGCCGACCACGCAATTGGTTTGGGGGGAGGGATTTCATACTGCGGCCTCGTCCCAAACCGGTAATCGGCAGACGGTGGGGCTGTCAAAATAAGATAGGGTTTGGCCGACCGACCGACCGACCGTCAACCTCGGAACGACCAGGACAACTGAAATATCGTGTTCGGGGGTTCTCGCACGCTGAGTCCAAATCTGGAAGTGCCGATGTCGTCCGGGTCGGGCCCCCGGGGACGTCATTTGGGACCTCCCGAGCACGCCGATGACACTCCCACGACAAATACGATTCGGCTCCAAACGTCGTGTACCTGGGCTGGTGCATATTTCTTAAAAGTCGCCAAATATAATTCTCATTAATAGCAAATCGCCCATAATAGTTTATTATCCTGATCATTTCATTTTTATTGTCACATGGCACCTCACATGGCACTTCCCTGGCGTTGCCGCCTGGAGCCACACAACGATGCACGGGACGGGAAGCATCCCCAAAGGATCACA